GAATTTGAATATTAAATCTGGGGTGCTCTTTGATTACCTAAAACATAGGCCCACTAAAGCAAGAAGAGGAAGATTTTATTACAGAGAAGACTTCCATCTTTCAAAAGGTTCCTGTTGGGTTTCTAGTGAGGCTCACACCACCAGAAGGAAATGGGAAGATCATTTTGCATCCGATTTTCTTGTTGTTTCTGCCTAAACTAGCAAAGCAGCTGAAGTGTCAGGAGCCCCATCTCCACAGGGGGCTCCTGTGGTCCTTGGAGGCTGGCTGTGCTCCAGAATAATTAGCAATTGGTTCTGGAGACTGTTTAAAGGAAATAAAAAGTCATTAAAAAAAACTCTCACCATCCAATATGGTTTATATTAGAATAAATTGATTACTCAAAGCCTAACACAGTCAGAGTACAGCATAAGGAGCGACAGTTGTTGGCCCAAATCCTGGTCAGCTGTTCATCACCAGTGACTATTTCCTAAGTTCTGAAATACATCTTCACTCCTGCAGCCAAGCTGGGGGAAAAAAGAAAGAGAAGGCTCCACAAGGAACCCAAAACCCAGGCATGCAGGTTTGTTTGTGTCTTTTTTTTTTTTTTTTGGACTTTGGAAAGCATATCTATAGGCAAAGAGAACTCCAATATTACATAAAAAGTCCTTACTTCCATCTCTGAAACGCTCAAAGTTCTTGTAACCTACTGACACATCCCTAAGAATGAAAATGTCACATAAGGATTTTATGAAGGAGTGAGTTAAAAAAATAAGTCTGAGTATTAATAAAGAAAATGTCCATCTCCCATGGACCCTGAATCAGTTCTCACACAGCAGGGTGTTAAGTGAGACACCAACACACACACACACACACACACACACACACACACACACACGTCACTCTGACTTCCTGTTAGCCATGTGACTTCACTTTCCCACCTGCCTTCTTGCCATTATGAGATAATCTGACATGCTGTCCTCACCAGAGCTAAGCCAATGATGGTGTTGTGTCTTTCTACTTCCCAAACTATTAGACACACTAACCTCTTTTCTTTATAAAGTTTGCCTGCCTCAAGGGTTTTGTTATGGATAACCACAAAAATAAAAATAAACTAGTACAATGACATTTTAGAAAATACAAAACTGTTAGACATGGCTAATGGTTAGTTAGAAGTGGCTGTTACAATTCAGAGCTGGGGGAGGTAAAAAATAAAAAACAAGTTCGGAGCTAGGGAGAAGGGAAGTGCAACTGTCTCTTTTTTAACAGCTTTTACTTTATTTTTGATTATGTGGGGGTGTGTGTGTGTGTGTGAGTGTGTGTGTGTGTGAGTGTGTGTGTGTGGGTTTTGGTTGGTGTGTGTGTGTGTGGGTGTGAGTGTGTGGGTGTGTGCAAAAGCCTGTGGAGGCCAGAGAGGACATCAGGTTCCTGGAGCTGGAGTTACAGGCAGTTGGGAGGCACCTGATGTGGGTGCTGGGAACTGAACTCAGGTCGTCTGCAACAGTTGTTCACCAGGTCATCCCCAGCTCCAGAGAAACTATTCTTTGAGATGCTGTAGCAGTAGGCGTGTGACACGCATGTCCACCCAAACCCATTGAAACAGACAAGGGGAATTGGATGTGTCAGCTTTTTTGTTTTGCTGTTGTTGGGTTTTCCCTTTGGTTGGTTTGTTGTTGTTGTTGCTTTATGTTACTTATCACTCATCAGTCAGGGTCTTCAGGGAAAGAATTTAGATTTGGTGAGAAATAGTCTTCCACATGTAGCAAACAGCCTCATTGCAGAGAGGGGGAAAGGGCTGGATTTGAACATTCGTCGCTGTACAAAGAGTCACGAGACCAAAGGCGGGTAAGAAACATACACTGCTTGACACTGCTGCTCCTCCAGAGATCTGAGCTAGTTCTGATGCAGCTCATGGGTGTATGGCCGTGGGGTGGTCAGGTGACAGGTGACAGGTGACAGGTGACAGGTGACAGGTGGGGAGCACAGCTCCTTGCTGTCCAGTGGGAGGTCACAGACAGCCAGGGCAGGGCGCAGTAACAGCCCACAGGTGACAGACGGAGTGGTGGGACACACATCTCACGTCACATAGGTACAGATGGGTTACACACAGGAGTGAGGGTGCAGGCATGCATGCATGTGTGGGTGGGGGTGCATACACATGCATTCTGTGCATTCCATTTCTACAATGTTTCTTTTAAAAATGTCATTTGTTTATCAGCCCACATGGAGCACCCAAATCTCAGGGTCTAACACTATTTTCCAGTAGAAGAAACCCAGGCTCCTTGGAGAAATAGCTGATTCTGGGACAAGGACAAAAACTATACAAAACCATCCTGCAGCAACGTGTGGCCAGAAAGTGAAGAACAAGAAAGCATACATACATACACACACACATATATATATATATACACACACATAAATTCACAACACATCACATGCACACAGCAAACATATACACACAACACACACACACACACACACACACACACACACACACACACACGTAGATTCACACTACCGAGGATTGTTGAAGGAACACAGCACACAATTCCAAGATCTCCCAATGTCCAGAGCTTAAATGATTTAGAAATAAAATGACACTGGATTAGAACCCCAAGTATAAAACAAACACCCACGAGTCCACACAGATGCACACAAAGGACTAGAGAAATGGGGAAATGGGCATCTCATGCAAAAGAAACCCAAGTAATTCTAGATGTTCAGCCTTCAAAGAGTAAGAAGGAAGCCCCCAACTCCTCTGGAGCAGGCTGCACAAGGGCCTTGCACCTAGCACACTGTGGAGAGGGTGAAGCAGTGATGGAGATGCCCACCCAGCAGTGTCTAAATTTGGTCATCGGCAACCGTCAAAACCATGACAGCTACATGTACCCTTGGCACAACGTGACGGAAACGTCTTTGCCTCTGCAACCTTCTTCACCCAAACCGGAGACTCCAGTTTATTCTTGAGAAATATCACCCAACAAATTTCAACAGAAGGCCCTCCTACAAAATATCACCCAGTAGGTGTCAAAACTACACAAAGTCTCAGAGACTGTTGTGGCTGACACCAGCCTGAGGGGCTGCAACAACAGATGTGACACAGTAATCTGAAAGGGGGTGTGAGGGAAAATCAAAGAACATCTTTGACTCGGCTGTGGATTTCAGTCAACAAGACGATACCAGGCTGGGCTTGTGGCGTCCACCTGGAATCCCTGTGCTTGGAAGGCAGGAGTGGGGACTGCTGAAGCTCAAGGTGAAACTGATCTACACAGCAAGCTCCAAACTTGCCACGACTACAAAGCAAGACCTGTCCCAAAGAGGGTTGAGGATGTACCAACAGCAGCTCAAGCTTAGCCAAGGCACCCTGCTGGCGATGAACAAAGACTTTGGGGAGTCATCACTCAGGGAGGTCAAGCAGGAGGGTTGCCATGAGTTCAAAGCCAGCCTGAACAATGTAGCAAGACCAGCTCTCAAAAGACACGTAGTCCATGATGTTTACTGAGCCTGTGTGGGAGGGGGTTAGATATGGACGTCCCATCTATGCCTGAGTAAGCACAACCACTTAGTGTCAGCACTTTGAAGAGTTATGAGTCTCTTCATTAACCACTAACCACACACACACACAAAGCGGCATCTCTGACCAAGGCTGAGAGCAGTACAAATCTATGGATATAAGCTTATTTAGAAGGCAGTTTGACAAAATGACCATTTAGCAAAACAGCATCCATAGGTTCTCCCCTTGGGCCTATGAGATCCCTGGATGTGGTTTTTTGACCCTGTTTATGAATTCCCTCCTTGGCAGCAGTCCTCAAATCCAGACAAAAAGAGTGGTTGGTTACCCCATAAACAGTCTTGTCGATACCACACTAGTGAGAACATTTTGCCTGGCAGGTCAACTTTATAGCATGTAGGGTCCAGTGCTAGGTAAGATTAATGCTATCTTTCCTCCCCCAGTGTCAGCATAGCACATCCTAGCATCATGAATGCTAGCCAGCAGGAAGAGCGTGCCTTGGTCATCTCTAGATTGATTTCTCTATGCCAATGAGCAAACTGTGTGGTGTCTTCAGCAATAGGTTTTATCACCTGGGTAGAGGGGGCAACTGTCCTAGTTTGCTTCTCTGTTGCTGTGATCGAATACTGACCAAACAGAGATGAGAAGGAAGGGGCTGCTTCCTGCTAACTTACGGATCATGGTGCATCATTGAGGGGATCCAAGACCGCAACTGAAGGCAGGTGCTTGAAGTAGAAACTGAAACCGACTACGGAGAAGCTCGGCTTAATAGTCCACTGCTCCTGGCTTGCTCTGCTGCCTTTCTTATGCAACCCACCACAGAGCAGATCCTACAACCATTAGTAATCAATAAAATGAGCCACAGACACGCCCACAGGCCAATCTGATGGAGACAGTTCTTCAACTGAGTTCCCTCTTGCCAGGTTTGTTGAGGACCAAGAGCAGCCACCACAGTAATCTAGAGCAATGACAAAAGCCTGTGTTGTTTTGGATGACTCGGGGGCCTCGCTGACCAACAATAGCTCATAAGAGAGGTGAGACATGTCTGGCCCAACCCACCTCCTTAAGAACAGTATTGTTCACCCATGCAGGGCACTTTGTTGGAGCTCCTTTTATTTGAAGTTAATTTTTCTTTTTTGTTAACTTACAAACTAATGTGGTTTTATAAAGCTTCTTCATACATCATTAGACTTGGCTAACCTATCTTCTACCTCTCCTTTCTTCCCCTCCCATTCACATACCCATTAGTCTACTAAAAATTCATGGAAGTCATTAGGCTTTGTATCTCCAAGACTAAACCTATTCCTTTCTTCAGAATCATAAGGAATTTCCTAGCTAAAAGAACCTCCAATCAGCTGGGCATTGGTGGCACACACTTTTAATCCCAGCACTTGGGAGGCAGAGACAGGTGGATCTCTGTGAGTTCGAGGCCAGCCTGGTCTACAGAGCGAGTGCCAAGACAACCTCCAAAGCAATACAGAGAAACCCTGTCTCAGAAGAAAGAAAGAAAGAAAGAAAGAAAGAAAGAAAGAAAGAAAGAAAGAAAGAGAGAGAGAAAGAGAGAGAGAGAGAAAGAAAGAACCTCCAATTCTCCCTACAGCTAATCTTCCCTGTTACTATGCACAGGCTTTGGGTTTAAGATTCAACACACCTAAGTAGGAAGTCTGAGCGATTCTAAGGAAGTCACCCCAAAGACTTCCAATTCTTCATCTACAGAACACAAACTAAAAAGCCACCTTCCGGGACTGTCATTCAGAAGAAAACCCCAGCGCAAGTGTCACGTGAAGGATATTGTACTCTCTTCTTCCCCTAACTCAGTCATACCTCTGTATCCTATTAAATGTATGGATGAGTTCATGGTTACCGTCCTTAACAAAAACAATTAGAGAAGTTGCCCACAATGGGTAGGTGCAGCTAGAGAAGGGTCCTTGACTTCAGAGCAGGCAACTTCAGGTCAAGGCATCTGTCCCCTAAATGCACCCGTGCTCCTGCTGAGCAATGGTTGAGATGAATATTTAAATCAGTTTCTGATTCTCCCAGGAGGGCCACTCCACTCCAACAGGGGTCAGGGAGTCTGAGGCTCTGCAGCTTCCTAGGGCTGAGGATGCTTAGTGTCCTGTGTGGCTCCCTCCTGTGATTTGGAAGCATCAGAAGGGAAGGGCTTATTTGCATCTTCAGTCCTGAGCAAGCCTGTCCTGTCACATTTGGCAGAAATACAAAAAAAAAATTTAATTCAAATATTATTCATTAATCCATTCATTTGTTTGTTTGGCTCATGGAGTCAAAGTCTTTCTATGTAGCTCAGGATGGTCTAAAGGTCACAATCCTCCTGCCTCAGCCTCTAGTTGCTAGGATTCTCAGTATGCACCACTGTGTCCACCTTAGGATATTTGTTTCCTTACCACCAACTATGTCAGACAGTCTAATGATGCTCATCAGTCAAGGTCCAATCAAGACGAAGAGGCTCTGCTCTGTAGCTTCTGGGGGATCAGCAATAGAAGTCACCAGGGATGATCAACAGCTTGGAAAACCAGGAACTGAGACAGCGGGATCCAGATTCTAAGCCCAAAGAATGGGATCTGAGTTGAATCTCTGGCCCTGGATGGAGACAGTGCTCAGATGGTAAGAGTTCTGTATGGGGAGTTTCCAGTAAAGAACAAAGACATACATCATTGTTTCTCCCAGGAGTTAATCCAAGTGGGTTTGTCAACCACCTGCAGGAAAAAATACACTTTCAGAAACTTTTTTTGTTGTTGGTTTTTCGAGACAGGGTTTCTCTGTGTAGCTGGCACTCATTCTGTAGACCAGGCTGGCCTCAAACTCACAGAGATCCACCTGCCTCTGCCTCCCGAGTGCTGGGATTAAAGGCATGTGCCACCAATGCCCCTCGACTTCCAGAAACTTTAAAGATACATAAATCCTACCTAACATTCGGTTCAACGGAGCCACCTCTCTGTCACCCATGCTCCTTTCACTGGTGGGTACACTCCACTTTTCTTCTACACTGTGCTCTGTGTGTCTGAATTCTATCGAGAAAGATCACAAGGGCCAGGGAGCAGAGATGGGGGCCACAGTGAGATTTCCCCAAGCAGTGCTAGTTAATTAGACTGTAGGTTTGATATAAAGAATTGCTAAATAAATCCTGAAGGACTGAGGGTCGAGAAGACAGAATCCACAGATGCTGCGGCAATGACAAGTGGCATTGCTTTTGAGGCCAGATGAACAAAGAGTTGGAGGCTGTTGAGAGCCTAGAGGGAGGGCCCCTTGTGCCCTGTCCTCTAGCAGAGAAGAGCAATGAGCACAAAGATCAGTTAGGTAACAAATCAATTGACCTCAATGCTGCTGCCACCAGAGTCAGCATCCAGGACAGGAGGGACCATTAGGGCCTGATCCTTTTTATCATCCCAGTGTCCCCAAAACTACCAGCCGCTGAAACAGCCAGGGCCACACATGAAGCAGGAATGTGCCTTCTTCACAAAGCTTGTGACTGCGAGCAGGGGATAAGAGGTTTTGTAGAAAGTGTTTTATAGCAAAGAAATGCTGGAAATAAAAGTCAGTCTTATCATTAAATAGGTTATGCTGGGAGTGGAGGTTCACACTTGTAATCCCAGCAGCACTCCGGAGGCTGAGGCAGGATTGTCAGAAGTTCAAGGTCAGTCTGAGCTATTGGTTCATATTGTCAGCTTGATTAGATTGAGAGCGAGTTTCACCTCTGGGTGTGTCAGTGTGCTTCCAGAGATGCTTAAGTGAAGAAGGAAGACACAACCTGCCTGAGGACAGAGCCATTTATATGCTGAGGTCCTAGACTCAATAGAAAGAGGTGAGCTGAGCACCCGTCATCTCTCTCTGACTGTGGATGCAGTGTGACCAGTCACCTAGGCTGCTGTCACCATGTCCTCTCCCCCCGAGGATGGACTGGCCCTCTGACTATGAAACAAAATATACCCTTCCTCCACACAGTAAGTTACTTCTTGCCAGGTATGGTGTCACAGCAATAAACTAAGTAACTAATAGAGCAATGCAGTGAGTCCCAGGCTGGCCTGAGCCTCCAGACAGACCTTCCAGAAGAGACCCTGTCTCCAGAAAGAGGCAAGCCGATTAACCCGTTTGCCAGGAATTGTGTATACCTTCTAAAAGTCACTTGGAAGACCTGATCCTCACAGACAATTTGAACTCAGGTGACACCCTATCTGGGGTGTAAGGTTCTTCACATACTGTACACACAGGACCCCTTCTTCACGGGACCCCTTCTTCCTGTACCTGCAGAGTCATATAAAGTCTTTTTTAAAGATTTATTTATTTATTATGTATACAGTATTCTGCCAACATGTATGCCTGCTGGCCAGAAGAGGGCACCAGATCTCATTACAGATGGTTGTGAGCCACCATGTGGTTGCTGGGAATTGAACTCAGGACCTCTGGAAGAGCAGCCAGTGCTCTTAACTTGTGAGCCATCTCTCCTGCACACACCCCCCCCCCTTATTTTAAGATAAAGTCTTATTAAGAAAGGAAAGATGGAGCAGATGGGAGCTCCTGAATACAGGATTCTGTGACTCTGTCCTTGACCTTTTCAGTCTGATTTTTGGACAAGACTGATACTGGGTTTCACTCAGTAGTGTTAATTTGGATAACAAGAACAGCCTGCAGATTCTAGAACACTGAGTTTCCACGTGGGTCTTCCCCGTGAGCCACTCACCCACCTGTCAGTCAGATGCGGCAACCGTGTGCAGACTCACTCCTTTTCTAGACGTGTCAAGTCCTGGAAGGTTGCTCCTCCCACCTTCTCGGGTCCCAATACCATAAAAGGCCACTGTAGTCCAAGTAAGAATCAGGAACGAATGTTTGCAGGCTGAGACTGCGCCTGAAATGGGGCTGTGAAAGGCACAGGACTGTCACCCGTCACAGAACGAGGGCCTCCGCTTCTTTCTATTCCAAAGGAAATGAGGAAATAGAAATTAGTAAAGGAAGAGGGATTAATTTAGTCTGGACTAATGACGTGGAGAGACCTAAATTCCTCCCCACTGTGCCTATGGTTGTTAACAGTCTGTAGAACCAGGAGATGCCAGTCAGAAGTGATGCAGATCAGCTGGGAGGCAGTTTAGACAGTGACTGGGGTTAGGTGACTGGGCCCCAGGCTTCCTCCTTGTCCCTGCCTCTGTTATGGGGACAGCGTTTTAATCAAGCCTGGACCTGAGGAAAATGGAGTAGAAGACATTCCATCTTCACAATCCCCAGTTTTGACAGAGAAGATCTCAGAGGTGTTTTGAGATGGCGGACATAAGGTTCCCGCCCAGTCTGGACCCAACGGAGTTCCTGTCTCTAGATCTCTTCCTTTCATGGATGCAGAGTGACGCCTTTTGTATCTTCCCTTTGGAAGTCGTCAGCTCCTTTGGAGTCTTATACTCCTGTGGGAGTCTCTGATCACCCCCTTCCAAAGGCCCAGGGACCATCTTAGAGGAGGTGGAAAGATTCTAAGAGCCAAAGGCAGGCACTCATGAGCTTACAGCGCTGTGGTTGCCTGCACCAGGCCTGCACCAAATCAAGCCAGTCAGTGTTCTAGTGTGGAGGGGAGAGGGGCCCACAGACCCCACCACTAACTGGGGAGCTATGGACAGCAGATAACTGCTGGAGAGACAGTGTCAGTTTTCTTTAAAGGCGTGAATCCTGGTAGGCTGACTATATTCCAGGAGACAGCTCCATGGCTAGAAGTGCAGGAGCAGCACAAATTAGAGACAGTGGGTTATTTTAAAAAGAGAGAGAGAGAGAGAGATCCCGGGGTGGTGCAGGGTGATGGGTAGATCTGGGAGAAGTTAGGAGAAGTTAGGGGAGTAGTTGGGGTAAATATGATAAATGCATTGTATGAAATTCTCAAAGGATTAATAAAAATGATTTCTAAGGGCACAAGAGTCTCTTTTCAGAATTTATAATACCGCCTCTCCTGCTGGGTCTCAGCATAGAATATGATAATACGATATCTTCAAAAGTCTTCTTTCTCTTCCAGATGAGGAGGCAGGGGACACACATAAACAAACACTTGTCGCCTTGTGATCAAAATGACTAACTACCCTTGGAATCACCACTGTGTCATCATGAGAGGAAGTGGCAACACAGGAGGTGGTCAACAGACTGCAGAGGAGGTGGGGCTTACCCCAGACAGGCAAGGCAAGGTCAGGAAGGCACCCAAGGAAGAGTGAGAATGCTTTGGAAAGATGCGGAGGGATGGGTGGGTTTGGAAATGGAAACCATTTCATTAGGTTGGAGTGAATGCTACGCTGTCTGCTGAAATAAAATGTGGAGAAAACACATCTGACCCCAGAGTCGCCTCCAAAAGACAATTATACTGTTGTTTTCCACTTGGGGGGGGGGGGAATCTATACACAGACATTGAGCAATTACATAGTTCAGTGTTTTTAAACATTCAGCCAGGGGCGATCAATACTTCCTGAAGCTTTTTGCATGCTGGGCACTCTTTTCTAGGAAATATCAAATCTAAAAAGAACTTTGGGGTATGCCCCATAACCGTGTGGATAATAAAACAAGCAATAAAATAATGAAAGTAACACATGATGAACAGAAAACAAGTAACATGGGTAGTAATGACTACTGTCCTGTGGTCTGGAATCCAGGTAGCATGTCAGCAATTTAAAATCTTAAGGGGGGTATGGTGGCACATACCTGTAATTCCACTACTTAGAAATGGGAAGACTGTCATGAATTTGAGAGCAGTTGTAGGCTATGCAGGGGTTCCAAATCAGTCTGAGCTAGAGAATGGGGCATTAAGATCATTAAAAACAAAACCTACCACTATGCATTCAATCAAGTATCAGTACTGTACCAGAAAGTACAGAGAGAGGGGAGGAAGAGGAAGAATGGTTGAGTTTGATTAGAGGAAGAGCAGCATCCAAGATACCGAGAGCCAGTGGATGCAGGAAGGTCCACTAAGTGGAAAAAGACAGAAGGTGGCGGGGAAAGGACGTGAAGAGAGGCGTGCGGAGTCGAGTGTAGAAGACAAATTTATCAGTCCTGGGTAACTAACGATGGGGAAGGCATGAAACAGGCTGAGGCAAGAATATTTCCCTGGCTCTTGACTTGCTTAAGGCAGAGTGAACGGAAGAAACAGTAGCAAACTGGACAGAGTGAGAGCCAGAGGGAGGACATTGTCTCCAAGTGACCCAGTAGTAGAATTGTCTCCTATGCTTCCCAAGTTTTCACTGATGGACACTCATTACTTGTGTGATTTTTTTTAGAAGTGTATAATGGTATATGAAAAAACACTATACATGATGAAAGGTTAAGCTGGTATTTGAGGCACAACTCTGTTGAGGTCATAGGTGAACCACTTTCTTATTTGCCTAAAACGAAGAGAGTATGGATAACTCTGTACTTAGAAGCTTGGTGTTTTGTTAGGCTTGCTTTTCTTGGTAGAGAGTCAAAGCCATACTCAGAATCAACAACAAATAAGTCAGCCTGGTCAGGAACAGATGAGTCATGGGTGCAGCCCAGGGGAAAGGAAAACAAGAGAGAGACAGATGGAGACCAACAGAGAAGCAGGGTCCAAATGTCGCATTCAGTCATCCTTGGCAGCCGAGACCCCCTCCCTGCTGAATGGGAGCCAGCTCCAGAGAGTTCTTGCCCATTACACCAAGGGACTCCACTGAATGGAGTGTTTCAGAGAAGGGAAAGTGGGGTTCACAGAAAATGACTAGAGTCCAACTTCCTATGCCATCTTCCTCCCTCTGCCTGGCTTCACTTCAAGTGAGTGTTTGACCTCCCTGAATTTAGGAGAGGCTCTCATGAACACCTGTGCTTTTAAATTCCATAAAGGACCCGTAAATCTTTGGACCAGTAAGGATATTTTTGTTTGTTTGTTTGTCTTGTTTTTCTTACTGACCATCACTTGGGTCTTCTTGGCCCATTACCAACCTCAGTCAAGCTCATTATTGTTGTAGAATATTAGTTTAAGATCTGTTATATTCATTTATACTGTGGAATATTTGTTTAATGATGCAAAGATGTGTTGCACTCTTTTATGTTACATTTGTTTAACTTTGCCTATCTAAAACACCTGACTGATCTAATAAAGAGCTGAAGGGCCAATAGCTGGGCAGGTGAGAGAAATGGGCAGGGCTGGCAGACAGAAAGAATAAATCTGAGGAGAAATCTAGGGAGGCGGGAAGGAGGAAGAAAATGAAGAGAGGGGGATTCTAAGGGCCAGCCTAACACACAGTCAGTCATGGAGTAAGAAGGAAAGAAAGATATAGAGCATAAAGAAAGATAAAAAGCCCAGAGGCAAAACATAGTTGAAGAGAAACAGGATAATTAAAGTTAGAAAAGCTGGCTAGAAACAAGCCAAAGGAAGGATGGGTATTCATAAGTAAGAATAAGTCTCCATGTATTTATTTAGGAGCTAGGTAGTGGGCCCCCAAAGAGGGGGAAAAAAAACCAACTATACATTATCAATTAACAACAAATATTTTAAAACACCCTGGTTTGGGGCTGAAGAGACAGCTCAGCAGTTTAAGCCCATGGTTGTGCTTCCAGGGGACCTGGGTTCAATTCCCAGCACCCACACAGGAGTTCACAACCGTCTGTAAATCTAGGGGCTTGACATCTTTTGGCCTCTACAGGCACTGCACACATCGGATGCACAGACATATAGGCAGGGAAAATTGCCACACAGAGAGAATAAAATAAATAAATCTTTTAAAACTCCCTGGCTCAACTATTTTTATGTTTTTGGAGGGCCTAGGAACCTGTTGAAATGGAAAGTGGAAAAAACATTTTTTTTGAGGTAGTGTCTTAGATCTGTCCTGGCCAGCATGTGACTTGCTATGCAGGTCCGGCTGGCCTTAAACGTGTGGCCATCCTCTTGCTTCTGCCTCCTAAGCCAGAGTTATGGGTATAAACTGCATGCCTGCGTGAAGCGGACAGCTTTATTGAAGCCAGAAGACAAAAGACACTGCAAATGTGTATTCTCTTCAGACTTGAAAATGGCAACAGCGGAGAAGAGGATAAAGGGGGAGCCCACAAACAGCTGTTCCCTCGGGACTATGTGGTAAGTGCCTTCAATCCATGGCCATGTCAAGAAAAACTGCATGAGAAAGGTGGACTCCAAATAGGTCTTCTATGAATAAAAAGAATGTTTAAAGCTAGGGTGAACTTGCAATCAGTATTGCCTTCTTCTTTCTTTCTTTCTTTCTTTCTTTTTCTTTTTCTTTCTTTTTTTTTCTTTTCTTTTTTTTATTACTATTAAGCTGACTTTTAAAATCCAATAGTTTGGGCCAACAAAATTGCTTGGAGAGCACCAGGTTTTGCTACCAAGCCTGACAACCCATGTTCAAATTCTGAGGCCCGCATGGTGGAAGGAGAGAAGTCACTCCTACAAGCTGCCCTCTGACCTCCACACATGGTGAGTGCACACTCACAGACGCACAAAATAAGAAAATCACCTTCTAGTGACCAGTGCAAATTCTTCATCCATCTTTGTACTTGATCTTCAGTGGCGCGTTAGCATTTCTCAGTTAAATTCCTTTCCAAACTCAACTTCTCCGTCCACGGTTAACAGTCTCGGACTATAAAGGGGCGGAGCTTCGTCTACTGCAATCTGAAGATGACATGAAGGACTTCTCTGGACAGACTCACCCTCTTACTTCATTCTGGTTCTTGTCAGCCAACAATTCAAGCAGATTGCCCATGTAAAGGGAAGAAATCTAAGAGTCCTTAAAATTCCGACAGATTGTATCTCAGGATTTTTGTTTAATATTCAAGTCCAGACTATGTGTTTGGGTTTGGCCCTGAATTGTCACCCAATGCCATGAAGAAAGAGTTTGTTGCCAGCTGGTTGCTTTGGAGGAGCCAACTGGATATGAGGGGTCTGGCTCCATTGACAGACTAACCTAATGATGTCTCTATAAATCCCTGGGCCGCTGTGACAGGAAGAGGCAGAACCTAGCAGAAGAGAGTGTGGTCCTTGGGGCGTGCCAATGAGGCATTACCCCTATTTTCTCTTGCTTGCCAGCCTCCATGAGGTAAGCAGCCTTGTCTGCCATACAGCCGTGCTGCCACGAAGTTGCAACTCACCTCAAACCCAAAGCAATGGCACCAGGAAACAACAGATTGAAACTTCTGAGACCACAAGCCATTAAGATTATTTCCTCAGTGTTTTATCACAATAACAAAAGGCTGACTGACAAACTGTAAGATGACTCATTGCCATGTCTGAGAGCTATAAATGAGAAGCCTTGAAATAAAGAAGTTACCTCAGTGTGGGCTTGGACTTTGGAGAAAGCCTGTGGACAGAATCCAAGAGGCTCTGTGATCTCTCAAGCACTGTTCTTGTCATAAACCACCAACCTAACGAAATCCAGTACTGACTTCAGCCAGTACTGCCCCTGGTCTTCAAGGCAGGGCAGTGAAAGGCCATTTGCATACAACTCAAGACCTAGTTCTCTTGGCATGGCCCAGATGTGTCTGTCACTCCTTACTGCCATTCATATCGGCTACCCACCTGCTCTGTTTGAAAGGGTGCCTGGACTCTAGTGTTGAGGAGAGTGGGTGTGGTACTGAGAAAACTATTTTCCTTCAGGATCTTAATCTGTCAGTTTCAAAGTGATAAAGACAACATAGATAATAAACCATATGTGTTTAGGGGAAAACACAATGGGCCGAGTGATAAGTTACATAGAAGATTTAAGTTAAGAGGCATTAGAAAATTACATACTTAAAATTTTTAATTACATTTGAGGGTTGTATATGCCTGTACACATGGAGGTCACATGACAACTTTTGGGAGTCAGTTCTCTCTTTCCACCCTGTGGGCCCAGGGACCTGAGGTCTAGCTTGACTCCACGTACGTACCCTTAGATGCTGAACCATCTGGCCAGCACGGTATTACATACTTTCTTCATGGATTCTGCAGTGTAACTGAGTTCATGCATGGGCTAAAATTAAGTTTTAGGCATGTTCCCTATTCCCACCTAGGCAGAACTGCTTTTCATGGCAGGCCTGGGAAAGGAAGGTTACTGGG